CAAAACAAACAAACAAACTTTATTCCCAATCTACGGCTCACGAGCTCGAATTTAGTCACCGAACATGCTCACCCTTTAAGCTGAGAAGGCTATATAATGTGAATATCAGTCCCACTTTTCAGTGGTAAAAGAATAGCCGTATAATTGGCGGTGGGTGGTGTTGACTAGCTGCCTTCCCTCTAGTTCATCATCTTAAAATTAAGGACAGCTAGTGTAAATAGCCCTTGAGTAGCTTTGCGTGAAATTCGGAAATGTTTGTTTGTTTTGTTTTTTGAATTTCGCGCAAAGCTACACGAGGGCTATCTGGGCTAGTCGTCCATAACTTAGCAGTGTAAGACTAGAGGAAAGGCAGCTAGTCATCACCACCCACCGCTAACTCTTGGGCTACTCCAACGAATAGTGGGATTGACCGTCACATTATAACGCCCCCCACGGCTGAAATTTAAAAGAAAAGTGTTATTAGCTAAAGAATAAAGTGTAAAAACAATGTTTGAGGCATGAAAAAAAAAAGGAATATTCCAAAAAAAGTCTGATAAAAAAAAGGACAAATTTGAGATGTAAGAAAATAATTGATAAAGACAGTGTTAATCCTTCAACGATTTTATGACTGCAGAAGTTGCTTGAAGACTCCAATAAAAAAGATGTCAAAGTCATTTCAGGGATTATCAAATAATGTAAATCAGTTATTCCAAAACCGTTGATATGCGTTCGGCCTTTCTTTATAAAGAAGGCGTTAGTAACAAGGCGCGAACCTTGATATAAGGATTACATATAAAGATAGCATGAAAAAAACGATAAATGTGTCCCGGATATATTTGTAGTATTAACACAAGGTTATATTTTTAGGTCCTTGTTTGTTAAAGTTGCAAAATCAATTGCAACATTTCTTTATCGTTTTTAGTAAGCTCTTTCCTCGATAATTAAAATCAGCGTGTCTTTTCTGAATTTAAAAAAAAGAAGAAAGATTGGTGTTGTCAGAATACACGAACAATCTTTTCATATATTCTACCTGTATGGGTGTACTGTTCCCGACATTATCAGTCGACTCGGTTCATTGAAGTGAAAATTTTTCTGCACGCCATCTTTTGTCGGATGTAAGCAGTCAGTCGGAAAGTCTCTTAATTAGAAAGTGGTGGGAACATGTTAACGAGCTGTGACTGGCACAAATAGATGTATTCACCTGTAAGTGAAGTAAGTAACGTATCATTTCGGATACAAGACGCCCTCCTTCCTTCCTTCTATATATATATACCTACATACATATTTATTAGGTCGTCAAGAAATTGACGTCGCTTTTTTTTTGAGATGAAAAATCCGAACAACTTATAAATCAAAACAAAACAATTATTAAATGAAATAGTCTTTATTCTTATCGATGATGCTTTTCCA